TGCCTGCTGGGACTTCGTGAGGGAATTCTCCCACGGGAAAATTTGCATAACCCACCAGAAAGAGAGCCATCACCAAATGACATCAAGGAACACAGAATACCAACCTGGGGACTGGACTTCTCATGAGGCCAATGTTCTGGTGTCAAGCACGGCTCCTACTAGCTGTGCGTGATGATGTACTGTGGACATCTGTTGTTTTTGTCTGCCCAGCGTCCAGCTCCTCTTCTGATAAAAGCACTTCCATTACCATTTGGGAAATCATGCCCCCATCACATGCAGTATTGGCAAAACCAATACTTGATTACCCAAAAAGTATTGGGTACAAGGTGCACACTAGAACTCTCCTATTTTAACTCCTGGGGATGGAACCAGTAAGTATAGTGACACAATGAAAGAAAAGATCAGAGTTAATTTATTCTGACTTCAAGGCCCTGAGAGACTGTTCATTAACACCTGTTACCTAAATACCCAACCAACTCTAGTGTCTGTCCTTTCTAGGGTAGCAGGTTTCCCTTAAATCTTGGAACAACCTCAAACCCCTCTAATAATTCCTTTCTTGCCTAAATTAGCCAGGGTCAGTTTTCGGGGTTAGCTTACAATTGAAGAACCTGAGGTAGTTGTCACAAGACAAAAGGAGGAGCATTAGACAGGCAGTCAGAATCAGCTTTGTCCTAAAATTGTCTATGAACCCGGAAGGGTCCCTTAATCTTTCTGAGCCTTTATCAACAGATTAAATAACTGGGTTAGGTTATTCTAAGGTCCATTTACCTATGTAATCTTCTGGAATTCCAGATTATTAAGAAAACATCAAGGTTCATAGAGTTATATTCATTTGTAAACATAATATAATGAGCTATTATTGTACTAGTCATTGGGGATACAGAAGTGAACTTGGGATACAAAGGTTATATTCTAGCAGGAGATAACCTATGAATAGTTGAGCAAATGAAATAATCACAGACTGTGAGAAGTCCTTTGCAAACAACAAAGTTGATGAGATAGTCAGTGGGGAAGGCCCTTTTAGATGCCCTGGTCAGGGAAGCTTCTCTGAGGAGGTTGGCCAGTAAAGGATAAGAATGGGTCACCTCTGAGGGGTCCCAGGTTCGATTCCGGTATGGGGCATGTACATTGGTTGTGGGCACATCCCCGGTGGGGGGTGTGCAGGAGGCAGCTGGTAGATGTTTCTCTCTCATCGACGTTTCTAGCTCTCTATCTCTCTCCCTTCCTCTCTGTAAAAAAATCAATAAAATATATTTAAAAAAAAAAAGAAAAGAAAAAAAGAATGGGTCACCTATACAAAGAGGAGGGGAAAGCAAATTCTAGGTAGAGAGAACAACAAATTTTTAAGCCTGGGGCTAGAAAAGGTTCCTGAACTATGGTAAGAAGTAAGGGGATGGTAGGAAAGAGACTGCAGAGAGAGGGAGACCAAGACCATGCAGACCTGGTGGGCCAAGGAAAATAAACTTAATTTTCTTCTAAAAGATCAAATATACATATAAAGTGAATCTCTCTGGATACTTGGTGTTGGAATGCTATACAGGAGGGACCAGAAGAGGTAGGAAATTATTGCAGTTGTCCAGATGATAGTTTGTGGCTTAAAAAAAATCATAAATAAATTAATAAAAATTTGTCAGTCAGTGAAGATGAAGAAAATTGGTGAATTTGACATAATTTTGGAACTAGCACCCAGAGGACTTGGTGATATGGGTGTTGAGAAAAAGAGAGAAATCTAAATATAATCTTTAAATATTTAGTTTGAATGAGTGCATAGAAATGATAGGATTTATTGAAAGAGAGGATCCAGGGGAGCAAGGAAATGGTGGGAGATTAATTTTGCTCACATTAAGAGCTTGGTACTCTTATTAGATATCCAAGTGGAGTGGAGCTGTCATATATGATGCTGACTATAAATATCTAGAGCTTAAGGGAGGGGGTTATGGTTGGAGATAAATATTTGAAAACTAACAGCATAAAGATGGTAGTCAGTCACAGGCATTGATGCAATTTCTTAAAGAAGAAGTATAGAGAAGAAGACTGAAGAACAAAACCTGAGGCTCTCCAACATCAGAGGTTAAGTAAACAAATGAGATTTTAGCTAAGGAGACTAAGACGTTATCAGTGAGAAAGGAAAAACAAAACAAAAAACTGGGAGGAGAGTGTGGTGTGATGGAAGCTGAGAGTAGAGTGTTTCATGAAGGAGAGGGTGTTCAACTGTATTCAGTTCTTCTGAATGTTCTAGCAGCATGGATTTAGCAATATGGAAGCCACCAGTGACTATGACCAGAGCATTTTCAATAGAGTGGTGGCAGCAGAAGCTAGGTTGGAATGCAATTAATAGTGAATGAATGGGAGGTGACTAAAGTGTGGACAGCATGTTTAGAGGACTTTTGAGAAATCTTGCTCTGAAATGAAACAGAAATGGGGCAATGAGCGAATAGTTGAATGGAGGGTTGTCAAAGGATGATGCTAACATTTGAAAATGACTCAGTAGAGAGAAAGAAGCTAGTGCTGCCCAGAAGCTGAAATATCTGGCAAAGAAATGTCCTTGAGAATGGGAGAGGAGAAGGTACATGACCACAAAGGAAAAGACTTCTTACTTTTTTTTTTTTAGGTGTAGAGGTAATTATTCTATTAAAGCATGCAATATGCTTAAAGGGGCAGAGAAATGTGTAAATATCTGGGTGAACCATTGGAATGCTGGGAAGTTCCTTTTCCCAGTGAAGTATGAGACACCAATACCCTAGACGGCGTGGTAGAAATAAGGAAGGTTTGAGGCAACAGGAGAAAGTATTAAATGTTAACTCAGAGAGTAAGAAAACACATTACAGACTGAATAAATGAGAATTATTGGGCAGTGATTTTGGGATTTGGGTTTTGATTTTAAAATAGGTTCTTTTGGTGGGATCTTATCAGCACTATTGGTTCATGCAGAGAGATGGAAGGGGGTTAGGTTTAAGTAAAGTTGTTTTTGTTGTTGTTTTCCTTTGTTTTGTTTTGATTTCTTCCTTTTAACCGGAAGAATGTGATGGAGAAAGAAGGGTGTTTGCAGTGACACACAATGGAATCTAAACTGAGTAAAAAAGGGAAGTGAAGACATCAAGGGTCAGGACTAGTGCAAGTGTTGTAGGATAAATGACCAGTGAAAAAGAGGAGGGGTCACTGAAGTAGAAGACTGTGCAGTGGGAGGCATCAGGGTAAGTGAGCTGGAAGGGTAGGAGTTAGGATTCAGGGAATGAGTTTTTAAAATCAAGATTTTGGAAGAGGTGTGTTAATTTACTAGGTTTGTGTTGGGTTGGAGTAGTGCACATAAGCAAAAGAAAAGTGCTGCTGAGAGGAAGAGAGTCAGACGATTCCCTCTTTTTTCATTGCACACCTTGTGCTATTTTAATTTTAGTCAAATCCACACAGTGAGGCTTGGGCCTCCTTTTCAAAGCCTATAGCGGTCAGTTCAAATCTAACACAGTTTTGAGTGTCAGATGAAGCTGGGGCTGGGTGGGTTCAGATAGGAATGTATTTTGTTTCCAATAAATAGAAAACTCAACCAGTAGTGGCTTAACAGACTAAGGAAAAACAAAACAAAACTAGGAGGATTATTTTCTTAACATAAGAGGAAGTTTGAAGAGAGGTGATTGCTAGAGTTGGTTTAGGGTCTCTACAAGGTAAAGGACAGGGTCTGTGATTCTTTGGCCTATTTCTCTTTGGTTTAAAGGTAGCTTTGAACCTTTGTGTAGACAGAGCATCTTCTGGGTCAGTTCTCAACTGGGACCAGGTAGAAGCATTTTAGACTTTGAAAATAGGATAGGAAGAAAGAGTCAAACACCAATAACCAGGGTCTATAATAATAATTATTGTTGTTGTTGTTACTATTATCATCTTTATCTGGAACTGTTGTATGAGTGTGAAATTAAAAATATTTTTAAATCTGTCATTGGATGTTTTCCATCCCCCACATCTTCCCCTTTCCCCAAAAGATTTGTGTATAAGTATTATACACAAATTAATCAGATTATTATACACTGGATTAATCAGAAATCTGTAATTTACCCATATTTGGGCAAAGAAACTCATCTATAATTATTGTTTAGATTCTATATAAAAATGTAGAACTACATGCAGCCAAAGAAATATGGGTTTCACCTACGAGGATTTTCCGGCCATTTCTGAAACCTCACTTTAGGCAACTTCCTCCCTCCACCCATAAATCCTAGAGCATATCAAGTTTCTTATTGGAAGCAGATGGGATGTTTGCAGGAGTTGCCACCTCTATGTCAATGACTGAAAGTTTAAGTGCTAAGGCATCTGTGGAATTCTAAAATGAATGCATGGGTTAATGAATGGAAAGTAATTAAGGTACCACATATAAAATAATAACCACCCAACTTCAGAGAGATTATTTAGCCATTTTCAACTCTTTTAATCTTGCTTATCTAAATAAAAATCATAGCTAGATATCCTCTCTCTATTTTAAGTTGTTTGATCTCTTTTTATTGTTTTAGAAATTTTGACTTTATTAAATGATTCTAAAGTATTTTATTGTATTTCTTAATTCCTTTCCGCTTTATGACTCACGAAAATTCATTATGAGAATTTGTTATTGCCTAATTTAGCACTCAGCTTAATAAGGTGTGTGCCTTCAGTTGAAAGGATGACATCCATCTGTCTACATGTCTTTGATATTAATTGCTACATATAAAATCTATTCTGCACAGAATTTGTTTAAGAATCCCAAACAACTGGAAAAGGTCAGAATAGCAAGAGTTTATTCCAGTGCTGGGGTTTAACAACTGTTACTTTCCAGTTTCACTGAAGTGACTTTCAGTGGCTGTATTGCATGGTTGACACTACCCATATCTGGTCATCTTGTCATTGTTACTCTAGAAAGTGCTGTTAATGCCAGTTGCCTTCCTAACTTTACTATGTCATCGCTTTTTATTCCAGAAAAAAATGAAAAGAAACAAGAGCCAAAAAGCAATGGACAGCCCCCTGCCTCTGAGCGAGCGGTGCCCTGAGCACTCCCAGAGATGTGCTGCGCGATGGTGAAGGTGGCAGGCAGTGACGCTTACTTCCAGAGGGGCAGTCTGTTCCGGTTCACGGTCATCACTCTCTCCTTTGGCTATTACATGTGGGTTTTCTTCTGGCCTCAAAGTATTCCTTATCAGAGCCTTGGGCCCCCAAGCCTCTTCACTCAGTACTTGGTGGACCATCATCACACCCTTCTGCACATTGGGTACTGGCTTGCCTGGCTGATTCATGTGGGAGAGTCCGTGTATGCCATGGTATTGTGCAAGTCTAAAGGCATCACGAATGGTCGGGCTCACCTACCCTGGTTCCTGCAGACTTTCCTCTTCGAGATAGCCTCACTCCCCATCTTGATCGTTTACAGGCCAAAACACCAAAAATAAACTTAAAGGAGATCTCCAAACCTTTCCCTACACTGACATCCAGCCTCACTTTTATATGGGGATGGTGTATTTACTCCACCTTTCTGCTTTCTGGAAAGTTACAATCCTCTAGTTATTCATTATTTCATATTCTCTGGTTGGGCTTAAGTAGACAATAGGAAAAGGGTTTATCTTTCCAATTCTGCAGACTAACCCATTTGGTAGAGTACTTCTAGCCTCCTTCTCCTTACCCACACCACCTCCATCTTAGCTGATGAGGGGTTGCTTTTTGGTAAGATAAAATATTTTAGAGTTAATTGATGGAAATCCAACTCAGATTTTGTAAAACTATGGTCCTCTCCAAGGGAAATGATGACAGTAGCATTAATGTGCCAGGAACAATTTGGTGCATTATTGAATGAAATGAATTAAAGAATAAAATGCTGTGAATTATCTCTCCAAAAACAAAAACAAAACACAAAAACAACAAAGAAAAAACAATGGACATATGAAATATACATTTACTTTTGACCTTGATGTAGACCAGTTCAAATTCTAATTATTTTCTTGTATTTAAAGGGGAAGGGAAGGTTCCTCTGATTTATTTTATCCTTAACTTAATAACACTATCTTAAAGTACTACAGATCAGTGCACCATCAGTATTGTCATTGACATAAATAATGCCAAAATCTTTTGAAATTGTTGAAACCTATGCCCATAATTTCACTTTGCTCTCTTTTTCTTTAAGACATGAACTGAAGCATCTACTTTATGCCCTATTATTAAAAAAATAAAATAAAAGACTTCTAGGAACTCATATTGAATTGACCCACCATGTGGGCAGGATTTACAAGTAAATATGGAAATTCTCCTTGAGCACCCAAAAACACTTGTATTCCCATTCATTGGTATGTGTCTATTCTTTGATGTTGGAATGAGTTCAAATTTCCCTTGCATCCACAGCAATGGCCAATTTTCATGTTGGTTGGTGTCACTGACTTTTTCCTCTTTCAGAGTCACCTTTATTTTAAACACTAAGGACTGATTGAGTGGCTCAGGACTTTGTTGAGAAACAGGGACTTGAGATTTTGCGGTAGAGTGGAGATGTGGATGGTAGTTTGGAAATCAAGAAGGTGGATGTTAATATGTTACTAAATAAAATTTACTGAGCATCTATTTTAGGCTAGTCACTATTCTAAACTCTGGTGATACCACACAAGACAAACTTTTTGCATTCTTATAGCTCACCTATTGGAGGCTTTCTCAAGATTCAGAAGAAATTAAAAGGTACATGAAGGAAGAGAAAAGATTAGTGCCAAATGAAAGAAAGAATTTGGGATGCTGCTTTTCTTATCCTTTGACTAAAGGAATTGCAAAGGTTATCCTCTACAGTCTAGATCAACAGGAGAAAAACAACAACACCCATAAGCGTTAGAACTACTAATTGCTATACACAGGATGCAGATGTCTTTAACCAAGTCTTTAGACTACTGAAACAGTTATCACCCTAGAGGACCAACAGGTCCGGCTTTGTTGACAAACCGTCAGAACTATTACCAGGTGTTTAGTGCTGTCTTTGAGTGGAGCAGTTCAAAACCTACCAGATTCAGGAAAGTGTTAATAGCTCTCTTCCCACGCTTGGTTGACATGCCAGATTGGTAGGTGAAAGATGCTTAGCCTTCTCATTCATATTAACGCACTTCAGTAAAGTTCAATTCATTTAAAATGAATTAAAACATGACTTTGCTTAAGGTGTTTGGAAACTACTTCATACCCAGTCAATACAGATCTAGCTGAGTTTTTACTGGGTTTTTCCACATGTTATGTCACAGGCACCTAAAACTCAATATATCCAAAGTTTGTTCATAAATATGCTTCTTGTTCTATGTTGCCTATCTCAGAGAGAACACTGTCATTTCAGATAGCCAAACCTAAAAATGGGCATATCCCTCTTCTTTAATCTCTTATCCACTTAATCCATCCACTCACTCTAAACATTTACTGAAGAGGCGCTATTCCAGCCACTGGGATGCAGCAGAGCATACAATATCTGCCCTCAAGGAGCTTACATTATAGTTGGGAACAGGCAATGAATACAAGATGGTAAGATTAAACGAGAAAATAAAGTATAGTAAGGCAGATGGAAAATGTTAACTTTTAATTTTTTTAATTTGCTCTGGTGACTTTGAGAAAAGATGTGAAGATGGTGAGGCATGAAACCAAGTGAGTATCTTGGGGAGAAGCATTACAGAGAAAGCGTCCTAAGGCATGAATAGAATGTTTGAGGAATAGTCCCAAAGCCAAATAGCTGGAGGTGTGAGCACAAGGAGAAGAGACCTCAGAGGAACTGGGGATTAGATCATGAAGGGCCTTAGAAGCCACCATAAGAACTTGGCTTTTACTCTGAGTGAAATCAATAAGGTTCAAGTCGAGGAGTAGAACATGATCTGATACACATTTTAAAAGCATTATTTGTGGTAATTGATTATTACACATTGAATTAAAAAGAATCTATAAGTTCATTGTGAAAATCAAAAGAAGAAAGAAGAGAAGGAGGAAGAGGAAGAGGCAAGTAGGTGAAGGGTGGGAAAGGAGGAAAAAGGGGAAAAGGGACACTTTTTTACTAAAATGTTTGTTAAAAATAGAAATGGGAGTATTTTAAAAAATCACCATTTAGCAACATTCAGTATAATAAATAGTCTAAGAAGGGTTATTAATAGATGCTAAAGGCATTGGGTAAAAGGTTGTGGTAAATAACACATTTGGAAGGTGCCAAATATCTCCCCACAATTTCTTACTAACTACAAAGGGGGCATTTATCTTCATAAGGGAGAGCTCTGACAGGTCACCACATTAACCAATGATCAAACAGCATCACTAATATCAGGACAACCGACATTACGTGCCTCATGATGGGCTGCAGTATAAACACTTAATCTGTGAAGAAACCAACAAATTAAAAATGTGTGGGATAGTCAATATGAAAAAGTGAATGTTTCAAAAGAAAAGAAGCAGGCATTTTTTTTTCTAAGTTAAGAGAGACTAAAAGATATAATAAACAAATAAATGCATGAAACTTGATTGAATCCTGGATCAGAAACACACACACACACACACACACACACACACACACACACACACACACTGTAAAAGACATTTCATATTGTACAATTCTTCTAACTCTTCTGTACACCAATTTGGCTCAGCGATTGAGCATCAAACTATGAACCAGAAGGTCACAGTCCAATCCCCGGTCGGGGCACATGCCCAGGTTGTGGGCACAATCCCCAGTGTGGAATGTGCAAGAGGCAGCCGATCAATGCTTGTCTCTCAACATTGATGTTTCAATCTCTCTTTTCCTTTCTGCAATCAATACATACATATATATTAAGTTGGCCAGGGTACAGTTATATCATTCTGGCTGCTATGTAGACTGTGGGGGGTGGGAGTGGGGGAATGGGCAAGGGAAGAAGCAGAAAGACCAGTAAGAAAGCCATGAGAGTCATCTAGGAGTAAAATGATGATGACTTAGATCTGGGTGGTACCATTGGAAGGCTGAGAAGTGGTCAGATTCTTTATAAATTTCAAAGTTAAAGCCAGAAGGATATGCTGACAGACTAAATGTGAAGTATAAATAAAAATATAGGAGATAAGAATTACATTAAAGTTTTGGGCCTGAACATTGGAAATGGAATTGCCATTAACAAAAATGAGAACACTACAGGTGAAAAAGGCCTCAGGGAAAGGCTTCCTTCCAGTTCAGAGCATGATACACTTAGCATCTTTACTAGACATCCAAGTGGAGATGTGGCATAGCTGTTAAATATTCAAATCTGAAGTTCAGACATGTATGAGCTGAAGATGTAAATCATGAGATTGGGGAAGATTGCCAAGGGAGTGTGTGTCCTCCAGAAAGAAAGAAGAGGACTAAAGATTGAGCCCTTGGGGTTGGGCAGGGAATCGGGCTCCAACATTAAGAGTCTGATCATCAGAGCTCAGAGTCACTTCCCAGATCCCATCAGTTCTTTTTCCTTCTCCTGCTCTCCATTCCCATGGAGCTTACTTTCATTCAGGCTCTATGCCATTTTCTCCTTCAAACATCGGTAGGCCCCTCACTGGTCTACCCACCTCCATCCTACTTTGCCCTCATCTAATCTCTCCTTATTGCTGTAGCAAACTGTGTCATGTCACCCCCCTGCGGAAACCTTTCAGGGCCCCTTCTGGATCCTGAGAGAAAGTCATAAGTCTGTAAGATCTAGATCCTAGCTTCCCTCTCTAATCCTCCAATCTTTCCCATTACACTTTCCCTAGCAATACTCCAGTCTGTGCTTCAGCAGTACCGACTTGATCTTTTAATAGCTGTCCTCTCTCCCAGCTCCCTGCCTTTGTACATGCTTTCTCTTCGATCTATCATTTCTCATTCTGTGCACTTGGTGAACACCCCTAGTGTGGCACTTGCCCTATTTAATTGTATGTTTCATGCACCACACTTAAGCACTTCGATTGCAGGGGCCTCTCCTTAATTCATCTCTGTCTATCTCAATAAGTGGGGTACCTTTTTTTATCTAATAAATATTTCTTGCAGAAAGGAAGAAAGAAAGAAAGAAAGAAAGAGAGAGAGAGAGAGAGAGAGAGAGAGAGAGAGAGAGAGAGAGAGAGAGAAAGGAAGGAAGGAAGGAAGGAAGGAAGGAAGGAAGGAAGAAAGAAAGAAAGAAAGAAAGAAAGAAAGAAAGAAAGAAAGAAAGAAAGAAAGAAAGAAGAAAGAAAGAAAGAAAGAAAGGAAGAAAGGAAGGAAGGAAGGAAGGAAGGAAGGAAGGAAGGAAGGAAGGAAGAAAGATAAGAAGAAAGAAAGAAAGAAAGAAAGAAAGAAAGAAAGAAAGAAAGAAAGAAAGAAAGAAAGAGAAAGGCTCGCTTTCTGGGATGTTAATATTGAGGTTGGTGGCATGTCCTTAATCTGGGGGAAAAAAACAACCCAAATGCTTATTGTATATCTACTGTTATGGTCTGAATGTTTGTGTCTCCCCCCAAATACAAATGTCAATATCTAGTCCACAATGTATGGATGGTGTTTGGATGTGGAGCCTTTGGGAGGTGATTAGGTCCTGAGGGCAAAGTCCTTATGAACGGGATTAGTGTTCTCATAAAAGAGACCCCTGAGAAATCCCTGACTCTGCTATGTGAGATTTATAGCAAGGAGCTGGCTGGGTATAAGCCAGGAAGCAGGTCTCGCCAAACACTGACTCTGCTGGTACCTTGATCTTGGACTTCCCAGCTTCCAGAAATGTAAGAAATAAATTTCTGTTGTTTATAAGCCACCCAGTTGGTGGTATTTTCTTATAGCATCCTGAACAGACCGACACACCTACATTACTGAGACTAAAAGGGGGCATTGTAGGTCTTTTAGAAATAAGAATTACAAGCCAATCTAGATCAGTTTCATGATAATCCTGCCAAAGCATG